CGCATGATTCGCGACGCTGAAAAGTTTGCCGACGAAGACAAAAAATTAAAAGAGAAAGTCGATTCGCGTACTGAGTTAGAATCGTATGCATATAGTTTAAAGAACCAAATAAGCGATAAAGAAAAATTAGGTGCCAAATTGAACGATGACGAGAAAACAAAAATTGAATCTGCCATTGATGAGACCATTAAATGGATGGAACAAAACGTGGATGTAGATGCAGAAGAAAACAAAAAGCAGAAAAAAGACTTAGAAGGCATTGTTCAACCAATTATTGCTAAATTGTACCAAGGCGCTGGTGGTGTTCCACCCTCTGAAGATAGTGATAATTTGAAAGATGAACTGTAAAGTGTAGTTATACCATTTAGTTTTAATGGAACTTTGAAATCAACTTAGACTGATTCGCACTTAATTAACTGTTTAATTTGTTTGATAACTTTGCAACATTCATTTGTAATAAGCTACCATAAACTCTTCGATTTTTACGAAGCGTTTTATAATTTATTTCGATTAAAAATAATATAAACATATGTTTTTGACTTTCATTATTTACGATTCAGGATTGAAGACACGTATACAAATAAAGCGACTGTTCGTGTTCAGTATTTACAAAGAAATGGTAATTTGCTTCGTATTCTTCTTCATTTAAACCAAAAATGTTAGTTAAGTATAACAATTTATTTTAGTTCAAAGTTTATTAATTTATAATTCATTAAAATGCTCTGATATATCGTAGTTCGTAAAACATTTACCAATTTTTTTAACATATGTATGCACATATTAGAGACGCGTTGCCAATAGCTCACATTAAGAAGTTAACAGCATATTTTAAAACCTGAGCCTAGATAGCAACGACGCTGAGAGGATCAAGCCGGAATTGAAAAACGGAGTCAATTTAAGTTTATTATTTTGTTAAAATTAGCCAAATTTAAGCTTTTTTTGACATTTAATATCCCACACTTATCAATGCAATTTCAACTGTTGTGCATAAATAAGTAAGCGCACATTTGAATTAATTATAATTAATATGTGAATATTCTATTTTTTTTAAATAATTGTAATAATTAGTGTTTTATATTCAAAGTTTATTCTGTACTAAAATTTTTCTGACTTCTGGTATATGATTTTTTAAGATAAAAGGTTTTTCTTTTCAAAGAAAATTTGTTTCTGAACTTTGGCACTCAATAACTTTTAAGTTAATCGACCAATCTATAAATATTATTACATCAACTGAAAGCTTGATGTGTCCTCTTTCGATTAAGCTAATTTGCAGAAAAATGGTATCTCTGCTTTTAAAGATATAATTAATTTTGTATCAAAGAAAATTAGTTTTTGAACTTTGGCACTCAATAACTTTTAAGTTAATCGACCAATCTATATATATGAATACATCAAATGAAAGCTAGAAGAGTCCTCTTTCGATTAAGCTAATTTGCAGAAAAATGGTACCTCTGCTTTTAAAGATATAATTAATTTTGTAATGCAACCTCGTTTTTACAAATTTTTGCTTTCCATTTTTAAAGAAAATTTGCTCTATACTATACAAAAACTAAGTTTATTTAGAAAACTAAACATATTTTTTACTGTTATATGTCTTTTATTTCATAGTTTTTAATTAAATAATAATGTTTTAATTAATTAAAACTTGAAATAACATCGTAATAAGAAATCGACGCTAACTATATTTTGACATTACATTTCCCTTTTTCATCAGTGCAATTTCAACTGTTCGACGATAACTATTTTGACATTTAATATCCCACACTTATCAATGCAATTTCAACTGTTGTGCATAAATAAGCAAGCGCACATTTGAATTAATTATAATTAATATGTGAATATTCCATTTTTTTTAAATAATTGTAATAATTAGTGTATTATATTCAAAGTTTATTCTGTACTAAAATTTTTCTGTCCTCTGGTATATGATTTTTTAAGATAAAAGGTTTTTCTTTTCAAAGAAAATTAGTTTCTGAACTTTGGCACTCGATTACTTTTAAGTTAATCGACCAATCTATAAATATTATTACATCAACTGAAAGCTTGATGTGTCCTCTTTCGATTAAGCTAATTTGCAGAAAAATGGTATCTCTGCTTTTAAAGATATAATTAATTTTGTATCAAAGAAAATTAGTTTTTGAACTTTGGCACTCAATAACTTTTAAGTTAATCGACCAATCTATATATATGAATACATCAAATGAAAGCTAGAAGTGTCTTCTTTCGATTAAGCTAATTTGTAGAAAAATTTTACCTCTGCTTTTAAAGATATAATTAATTTTGTAATGCAACCTCGTTTTTACAAATATTTGCTTTCCATTTTTAAAGAAAATTTGCTCTATACTATATAAAAACTGAGTATATTTAGAAAACCAAACATATTTTTTACTGTTATCTGTCTTTTATTTCATAGTTTTTAATTAAATAATAATGTTTTAATTAATTAAAATTTGAAATGACATCGTAATAAAAAATCGACGCTAACTATATTTTGACATTAAATTTCCCAAATTTATCATCAATGCAAATTAAACTGTTTTGCATTCACAAGTTAGCGCATAATTTAATTAATTTTATTTAATTTGTTAATCGAACAATATATATAATATTAGACATTAATTGGCTTAGAAAAATTCTAGTTTTTTGTTCAAATAATATCTTAGATGCAATAATCTTAATAAAAATTCGACGCTAACTATATTTTGATATTTAATATCCCACATATATCTTCAACGCAATTTCAACTGTTGTGCATGCCCAAGTTAGTTCACATTTAATTTAATTATATATAATTTGTTAATCGAATAAGATATATAATATTGTATATCAATCGTTTTAGAAAAAATTCTAGTTTTTTATTTTGATAATATCTTTGATGCAGCAAGTTTAATAAAAATTCGACGTTAGCTTTTCTTTTGCAGTACTATGGACTTACCAATAACTCTGCAACTGTACATTATGTTTTTCAGTGCCATTTTAATTTTTCAGCGAATTTAATTTAAGATGGTATGTTATCTATTAACCAACTTTGTACAGATTTTTTGAATAATTAATAAAATTAAATTAATTTCGATTTTTTTCAAATAATTGTGCTTATTAGAGTATTGTATTGAAAGTTATTTATATATAAACTGTTTTCTGACTTCTGGGATATGCTTTTTATAAGAAAAATGTCGTTTTTAAAGGAAAATTGATTTCTGAACTTTGACACTCAATAACTTTTAAGTTAATCGACCAATCTATAAATATGAAGACATTAAATGAAAGTTTGAAGTGTCCTCTTTCGATTAAGCTAACTTGCAGAAAAATGGTACCTCTGCTTTTAAAGATATAATTAATTTTGTAAAGTAACCTATTTTTATAAAATTTTATTTTCCTTATTTTGAAGAAAATTTTTTCTATATTATGTAAAAAGCGATTATATTTAGAAAAACAAACATATTTTTTATTGTTAGAAGCTTTTTAGTTAATAATTTTTGGTCAAGTAACAAAGTTTTAATTAAATAATATTTGAAAATAACATCTCTATCTTCATCGCAGCACTGCTCCTAAGCTAATCGAACAACCTATACAAAATTTTGCATTATATGAAAGGTAATTTTATCCTCTTTCGAATGAGCCATAAAAAAAAAATGGTACCTCTAGTTTAAAAGTTATTAATAAATTAGTGACCCCATCTTTTGGGGCTGATTTTTATTTTTCATTTTTCATACAAATTACGTCATTTGTACATAAAAGTTGAATGTAGATAGTAAATTAATTCAATTTTCTACTTAATATGCCTTTTGCTGCATTAAATTTAATAAAATAATAAATTTTTCCTTAATTAAACTATACTGCATTTCATGCGGCGAAAAATGTTCCAATTCCATTTTGGACTTATCGTCGACGCTATCTTCACGCACATGCAATTTCAACTGTTGTGCATAAATAAGTAAGCGCACATTTGAATTAATTATAATTAATATGTGAATATTCTATTTTTTTTAAATAATTGTAATAATTAGTGTTTTATATTCAAAGTTTATTCTGTACTAAAATTTTTCTGACTTCTGGTATATAATTTTTTAAGATAAAAGGTTTTTTTTTCAAAGAAAATTTGTTTCTGAACTTTGGCACTCAATAACTTTTAAGTTAATCGATCAATCTATTAATATGAATACATCAAATGAAAGCTAGAAGTGTCCTCTTTCGATTAAGCTAATTTACAGAAGTATGGTATCTCTGCTTTTAAAGATATAAATTATTTTGTATCAAAGAAAATTAGTTTTTGAACTTTGGCACTCAATAACTTTTAAGTTAATCAACCAATCTATGAATATGAATACATCAAATGAAAGCTAGAAGTGTCTTCTTTCGATTAAGCTAATTTGCAGAAAAATGGTATCTCTGCTTTTAAAGATATAATTAATTTTGTAATGCAACCTCGTTTTTACAAATTTTTGCTTTCCATTTTTAAAGAAAATTTGCTCTATACTATATAAAAACTATGTTTATTTAGAAAACTAAACATATTTTTTACTGTTATCTGTCTTTTATTTCATAGTTTTTAATTAAATAATAATGTTTTAATTAATTAAAACTTGAAATAACATCGTAATATGAAATCGACGCTAACTATATTTTGACATTACATTTCCCTTTTTCATCAGTGCAATTTCAACTGTTCGACGATAACTATTTTGACATTTAATATCCCACACTTATCAATGCAATTTCAACTGTTGTGCATAAATAAGTAAGCGCACATTTGAATTAATTATAATTAATATGTGAATATTCTATTTTTTTTAAATAATTGTAATAATTAGTGTATTATATTCAAAGTTTATTCTGTACTAAAATTTTTCTGTCTCTGGTATATGATTTTTTAAGATAAGAGGTTTTTCTTTTCAAAGAAAATTAGTTTCTGAACTTTGGCACTCTATAAATATTATTACATCAAATGAAAGCTTGATGTGTCCTCTTTCGATTAAGCTAATTTGCAGAAAAATGGTATCTCTGCTTTTAAAGATATAATTAATTTTGTAATGCAACCTCGTTTTTACAATGTTGCTTTCCATTTTAAAGAAAATTTGCTCTATACATATAAACTAGTTATTTAGAAACCAATATTTTTTACTTTATCTGTCTTTTTTTCATATTTTTATTAAATAATATGTTTAATTAATTAACTTGACAAAACATCGTATTAGACATTACGCTAACTAATTTTGACTTACATTTCCCTTTTCATCATGCAATTCACTTCGCGTAATATATTTACGATTTATAATATCCCACACTTATCAATGCAATTTCAACTGTTGTGCATAAATAAGTAAGCGCACATTTAAATTAATTATAATTAATATGTGAATATTCTATTTTTTTTTTAATTATTGTAATAATTAGTGTATTATATTCAAAGTTTATTCTGTACTAAAATTTTTCTGACTTCTGGTATATGATTTTTTAAGATAAAAGGTTTTCCTTTTCAAAAAAAATTAGTTTCTGAACTTTAGAACTCCATTACTTTTAAGTTAATCGA